AGAAGGGCGTGGCGCCCCTGCCTCGGGCCCGTCCCACGCGACGCCGGCAGTGGGGAACGGTGGGGCGGGAAGGCCACGCAGAGCCCATCAGAAGAACCTTGGTAGCAGAGCAGCGGCCTTCATTTCTGCCTCCAAGCACCCTGGCAGGCTGGAGCAACAGGCCAAAATGCCCCCCCAGGATGCAAGGCCCAGAGTCCTGGTCAAACAAGGAGGGCAGGGCTGCCTGCCACGCTGGGCCTCCGAGCCAGGCTCCAAAGCTACAGAAGAGCGCTCAGGAGGAGTGCGACCAGAACACGAGGGCGCTGCCCTGCCACCCACCCCAGAGGAACGCATCCACGGGCAGCCGGGCACGCTCCTTCTGACCGACTTGCGGGTGCTCTGCTGCCCCGAGGAAGGACTGATCCCTTCCCGCCACGAGCTCCAATGCCGTCCCTCACGCTAGGTCCACAAGATCACGGCCGAAATGGTTTCATCCCGCCTGGCTAAAAACCACCCCGCTCTCCTCCCAGCAAACGTCTGGGACGTAGCGTCTCCGTCCGAGGCGTGGAGTCTGGCAAAACAACCCGTCTGCTTGTGCAGCAGCCAGACACGGCTCCCCGTGAGGAGTCTGGCTGCATGCAAAGGATGGTCCGTGTGAGACACGGCGACCGGCAGCACGGCCATCAACGCGCACAAGCCACTTCTGCCTCTGGCCATCGGAAACACAGGGCTGCCAGCTAGATAAAACAGAGCAGCTTCCCAGAGGCGCCAAGGGAGGACTCGCAATTTGTGCCAGCACTCTGTTCAGACCCCAGGAACGCAAAGGAGGATACACGTTATTAAGGCCTTTTAAAACCCTTTTAATTGGATTGTTAGTAAAAATTGATTTTCCCCATAGAGGTACGCTACATGGCTGAGAGATGAACCTTAACTGAACATAATGAAAGAGGTGTCATCTTGACTTAAGGCAATCTAGGTCAGTGTTTCTCAACCAGCGGTGCGAGGACCCTTAGGGGTACTCGAGAGACGGCCGGGGGGTCTGTCAACACAACTGAAATTTGGAGAAAACTGAGTTTTTGTTTTAAGTTTTACAGCGCTTGATTCTTTTTGTACTTTTTACACCCAAAAATGGCATCCTCCACCCGGCTACAATTAAGTTGTTTAAACAAATGGGTTGCAATGGTAGAAAAATGTGTGCCTGAAAACTGTAGGGACTGGGGGGACTTATAATTTTTTTTAAAAAAGGGGGTACTTTATTAAAAAAAGGTGGAGAAACACTGATCTAGAGCTTTAATATAGAATTAACTGGTGTCTGGAAGGGTCCACAGCATCCCTGGAAGTCGTCAATAAGCACGGTTTCTGTTGAAGAACGCAGCGCTTTCATGCGGATTCCTGCCTAGCCGTTAGCAGGACGTTGTGTATGGCGGAAAGCTGTCTTCTAAAGGGCCAGTCCCCATGCAGGGAAGGAACTGAAGGTCTGGATCATGTTTCCACTCGTGCCAACAAGTGCAGAGTGCACAAAAAAGATTCCACAAAACCTTCTGACAGATGCATGAAATCCAGACACCGCAGCCTCCATAGAATCATAGAATCACAGAACTGGAAGAGACCTCAGAAGGTCGTCAAGTCCAGCCCCCTGCTCTAGGCAGGACCAATCCCAACTCAATCAACCTGGCCAGGGCTTTGTCAAGCAGAGACTTAAACACCTCTAGGGATGGAGACTCCACTATTTCCTTAGGTAACACATTCCAGTGCTTCACCGCCCTCCTAGTGAAATAGTTTTTCCTAATATCCAACCTGGACCTCTCCCACCACAACTTGAGCCCATTGCTCCTTGTTCTGCCCCCTGTCACCACTGAGAACAGCCTCTCTCCATCCTCTTTGAACCTCCCTTCAGGAAGTTGCAGGCTGCTCTCAAATCCCCCCTCGCTCTTCGCTTCTGCAGACTAAACAGACCCAAGTCCCTCAGCCTCTCCTCATAAGTCATATGCTCCAGCCCCCGAATCATTTTGGTTGCCCTCCGCTGGACCCTCTCCAATGCGTCCACATCCTTTTTGTAGTGGGGGGCCCAGAACTGGACACAATACTCCAGATGTGGCCTCACCAAAGCCGAATAAAGGGGAATGACGACATCTCTGGATCTGCTGGCAATGCTCCTCCTAATGCAGCCCAATATGCCATTTGCCTTCTTGGCTACAAGGGCCCCTGTTGACTCATCTCCAGCTTCTCATCCACTGTAACCCCCAGGTCCTTTTCTGCAGAACTGCTACTTAACCGGTTGGTCCCCACCCTGTACCAATGCTTGGGATTCTTCCGTCCCAAGGGCAGGACTCTACCCTTGTCCTTGTTGAACCTCATCAGATTTCTTGTGGCCCAATCCTCCAGTTTGTCTAAGTCATCCTGTACCCTATCTCTGCCCTTAAGCGGATCTACCTCTCCCCGCAGCTTAGTGTCATCCACAAACTTGCTGAGGGTGCAATCCATCCCCTCGGCCAGGTCATTAATAAAGATATTGAACAAAACCGGTCCTAGAACCGAACCTTGGGGCACTCCGCTAGAAACCGACCGCCAAATGGGCTACGTTGGGGCCATTAAAACCCTCTGGCTTTGTCCTGGCTGTTCACACTCTGACCGAGGGGAAATGGGGGAAGTCTACCTTAGACCCTGGCCTCAATGTGCTAGAAAAGCATCTGCTATAGATTCCCTGCGCTGCCTGCCCCGAAACAGTATCGGTGGGATTTCGGTTCACGAGGGATGCGGACAGGGCTCCCCGTAAACAGAAGAGATGATTCCTTGCTTTGTCCTTCAAGGACCAGTCCCACATCTGCCCTGATGGCCTGCTCAGGGACCTACCAGAAGGGTCTAGTCCCTGCCATGATGATCCTCCTGCGCGATTCACATGTTCTACACAGTACAGCAAGGGACTCCTGGCTTACGTCACAGGGCGAGTCCTGCCCTGCTTGCTTCGAGAACAGAGCGCTGTCGTATTGTCTGCTACTACCCAAGCGAGGGATGGAAAACCCCACTTCACTGGTTACATATATTGTTTAACTGGTTAACCCATTCAAGGGGAGGGTGGCTGGGAGAGTCGCTTCAGCCTGGCTGGAGCGTCCCCCCCCGGCCCTGGAGCAGCACCCCCCGCCACAGGCAGGGGCTGCACCGGCCGGGCTGGAGCACATTAAAGAGAGCTCGAGGCTCTGACTTCAACAACACCGGTGTGCAAGCTCCATCACTGGCCAACAATTCGACGTGGAGACGGGCTCCCTGTGCCAGGGCACATTCACCTGCGGTCGGCGTTATTGATGTTGGTCCTGCCGTGAGGGGAGGGGACTGGCCGCGATGACCTCTCAAGGTCCCTTCCGGCTCTATGAGATGGAATATCTCCATATATTATATAGTATTATATTGCATCGCAGGGGGACTGACAAGTAAACCCCTGGAGCACAGACTGCCTGTCCACACCGCAGCACCATGAACGCTGATCGTCACATGCACGGGGGTTGTTTCCTGCTCTCTAACCATGGCCTGTTTGGGCGAAGCACTAGGGGTCGGATGCGAAGCCTCGGGGTCGAATGTGATCGTGGCACAGGGCTGGGCAGGACAGCACCTCCACAGCCCAGACCCTGAGCCCGACTGCCAATGGTACTCCGCCCAGGTACAAACACCAGCAGTGAGACGTGAATGACAACACCCTCCACCCTTCCCTCCCTCCCTCCCTCCCTCCCACATGGAGAGTAAAGACAGCCACAGCCACGTGAGCTACATTTTAACTCTTCCCCACATGTTTTGGGGCACGCCGTGACCCTTAGCCTGGCTGGAATGTTCTCCCAACAACTGTGTCCAGATCCAAACCTCCACCTGTCTGGGAATCAACCTGACGGCCCTGGCTCCAAACCAGCTTCCCCCTGGGATCAGCTCCCAACCGCTCTCTACCCCCCCAGGCACCGCAATCAGCTCCCCAACCTCTCTCTGTTTCCCCCCACGATCAGCTCCCAACCTCTCTCTGCTCCACTCGTGGCCCACTTAGCCAACACGCGGGCGCGCAGACTGAGCACTTAGAGAGCTGCACGGAGCCACGGCTCTCCTGCTCTGAGGAGCAGGCAGTGTTTGGGGGTTTTACACACCACCCCAGTGGGTCACAGCCTCCCGCAGCACTAGGCCGGCAAACCCGGGCATGAGCCTGGCCACGCACCGTTCTGCACCAGCTGGCTGAGCAGGTTGTCCTCCTGGATGGCGTAGGAGGCGAAGTTGCTGCCCACGTCGATGAAGGTGGGCAGGGAGCCGGTGGTGATGCCCTTGATGCGCTGCATGGTGGTGGTGGGCGGGTCGGCTCGGAAGCGGTAGAGCCGGGCGTGGCGGGGCTGGGAGCTGGAGAGCTGGTGCAGGAAGCCCAGCTTGTTCTCGTAGGGCCGGGGCCTGTCCTTGGCCGGGTCGAAGCGGGCGAAGTCGAAGGTCAGGGCGTCGATGATGAGCAGCACGGCCTTGGGGACGCGCCGGGGCAGCCAGCAGGCGCCGGGCGCGGGGCCCTGTCCGGCCCAGGCCGGGGCGCCCAGCGGGTCTGCGCAGGAGCTGCGGTTGGTGAGGTTGAGCCCGCT